GAAAACAGTGGTCATGGCAGTGTCCAGCAACAGTGACCTGGTTCAATAGGCTGGCACTGAGATGACTTCTTTATTTACCTGTGCACTCTTATTGGGGGCCCTGGGGTGAACTGGCAAGAAGATGTATACTTCAAAGTCCCAGAGAACAAAGGGAAGAGCTAACTTTTGAAATACTGCCCCAGGGGGTGAGCACTCTAGGAAAGCATATGGCTTGGCTATGTATGATATGTGGCTTAGAGGCATTAGGTTGACCATAACTCAAGCTTATGGACTGGAAAGACAAGGAGAAATGTTTGCTTGCCCTGCTCTGTCATCCCTGTAGTCAGGGACTTCAAGGGAGGCATGGTTAGGTCTCCTTTGTCTTGGGTTTGTTTCTCCCTTGGAAATTTACGTGCTTTAATCTTCCTAGCAGGGGTCTGTGAGCTCTAGGAGGGGGCATTGCCTGATTTCTGCATGCTGTGAGATCTGGCCACTAGAGTGACCAATGTCTTAAATAAATGTTCATAAGTTTACATTTCCAGCTTTTTTGTTTACATGAAAAAAGAAATAGAAAAAAGATTTTCTAGGAAAGGCACATAGAGGAGAAGACCCAAAGGGATAGTGGACTGTAGTTGGAAGATTTCCTGTGTCCTGGCCTGCCAGCATTTGGGACAAATCTCTCCCACTCGCGTCCCCCAAGTAAACACACAGAGGCTTATATTAATTATAACTGCATGGCCATGGCTCAAGCTTTTTTTTGCTAGCTAGCTCTTGTATCTTAAATTAGCTCATAACTATTAATCTATGTATCACCACATGTTCTGTGGCTTTACCTGCATCCCAAGGAACATGTTGTTCCTTGGGCAGCTCACTGCATCTCTCTCAGCCTTCTTCCTGTCTCGCTCTTTGAATTTCCCGCCTGCCTCTAAGTTGCCTTGCCATAGGCCAAACGGCTTTATTTATCAAACAATCAGAGCAACACATATTCGCAGCGTACAGAAAGATATTCCCCCATCAGTGGACACTGAAGTTGAGACTCTGGCTTCCTAGAGCTGCCTGAGGATATAGGATGGAGGCAAGGCTTTCACTTTTGGAGCAGGTAGTTAGCATTGGTCTCTGGGACAGAGGCTAGCATCCAGATTTGTGCATCAGAAAGGCATAAGGCATCCATATTTGTGTAGTTGTACCCTAGGTCAACTAGGTCAGCAGGTGGGCTGGAGAAGGACATACAGATAGAAGGATCAAAGAAATTGTTTAAGGAATAGTCTGGTATATGTCTGGAGGTCTATTAAGAGTTTTGAATAGAATTTGATATGAAGATGGGGTGAGGTAAATAGAGAACTTAATAATAGAAGAGGCACTCTGAAGTGTGGGAGGCCAGCTCCCACATTTTTCCACGGTACTTTTAAGGAGAGAGGGATAAGAAATGTTAGATAGAAATATAGTAGGGAGAGGAACAGACAGAAACACAGAATACCCTGAGGAGGACCTGGATCAACATCTACTGATCCCTTCTGTCTCTTCAAAAGGGCTTTTTATAGGAATGCCAAGGGGTGGGGCAAAAGACCTTCCCCTAGCACAGCCAAGTGCAGACCCTCCCAATCACCTGGTAACCATGCACGACATCAAGTCATCCCTTAATACAGCCCTGCTGGGTAAATCAAGCTCAGATCTCACTAGGAAACTCTTGTGGGGCCCCACACTGAAGCAGTATACTTTTGGTATTTTTAAGTAGGTTAGGGGAGGTTGTGGGGAAGGCATCAGAGTATAAGGATAAGTTTTAATAAAATTGGATGTGTTATAGATGGCTCTAAAGTTAATTTTATTAGGTAGTTTTAGAGCTCTCATCACAGAATGTTAAGTCACACACAGAGAAAAGCGGGCTATTAAATAGGCTAAAATAGCCCAAGATAATTTAGGCTTTGAATTTCTAATATTTTTAACTTTCCACATTTAAAGATGTCCATAGTTGAAGTTCTAGCAACACAAAAGTGTAGCTTGTTAGTTCCAACTATATATGAGAGAGAGAGAGAGATTCATCATATAAGTTCTGCTATTCTAGAGAACCCTGCCTAATACAGATGTTAAACTCCCTGGAAATTTCTCTAAGGCTTTTGAGAACTGGTGAGGCAGAGTGGTTAATTGCTGTAGAAAGGGCTTTAGTCCAACTGTTTTAGTTCAAAGTCCAGAAAACAATGCCCAGGGTGACAAAAAAGTGATGAGTTGGATCTCCCCTTCAGAGGTCACTTGAACTTCTTTTAGGGGCTTGGTACACAGTCTTTTCTTCAAGCTGACAAAAGGGGCAATGTAGAAAGGGCAGCAGTTAGAGTGCCTCAGAAGAGGTCCATCCAAGGAGCCACAACAAAACTTAACAGATGGCAAAAATCTAGAGCAAAAGTCAGGAGGTAATAACTGTACAACCTGTAGGAAACATTAAGAAATGAAATGAACGTAAGTTTCATTTAGTAAGGTTAAATAGAGTTGTACAGCTGGTTAGACCATGCAAAACTCTGTAGAAGGATGAGATATCTGTAATTACATGTATGTTACATCAGACTCCTGCATAAGGAACAAGCACCAGGAAGCTTTGTAAAAGTAGTCAGTCAAACTCAGAATCTAACTGGCAATTTAAAACAGAAACAGAATCCTATTGAGTCATTTTATACGATTGTCTAGAATAGTTTAGACTACTTAGGTAGTCTGAATAATTCCCCCAAACTGAGTTTGATGACAGTATCCAGCAGCCTCCTTTAATCATGAAACATGGGCGATTATGGTGTGGACCCTGGAATTAGCTTTTGTTAAGAGGAAGAGCTGAAATCCAGAGTAGAGGGCATGGCCAATTGAACTAGCATGCAGGTCCCATACCAGTAGGGTGGTAGCCTTAGGTACAATGTTCCCCTGTTCAAAGCGTCCTCATATGTCAGTTTGGGAGACATTGAGGGCAGAGTAATTGCTAATTGTAAGTCCTCTCTGTTGTTTAGACATTTAGGATGTGGATGTAGACTCTAAGATCCATAACTGGGCAAGAGAATCCATCCCCCTGTCATATGCGACACAAGGAATAATTAATCTTCTATTTTGAAGGAGGTTGTTTTTTCATTTGGCCTACACAGCCAGAGCTGGTAAGGCCTACACAGCTGTAGGTAGAAGCAGCAGACTTTTGGCAGGTCTTATTTTCCGTGCATCATTATCCTGTAATAAGGCTACCATGTAATTTATTCTGGTGGGGTTGTGTCCTACCCAAGGGAAAGGTACTACTTGAGCCTAGGGATGTCCAGCCACGCAAGGGTATTGTAAATTTAACTCATCTTAGTCAAGTATTTAATTTTTTATAAACAATTTTTATATACATATTTTGAATATTATTTTACATTAATTTTAAGCTTACTTTAAACTTTTTTAAGTTACTTGCTTTAGGCTTAACTTTGATAACATATACAGAAGACTATATAATTCAAGGTACAAATTAGCTTAAAAACACAATTTTGAGTACATTAAAGAATTTGATCATTTATAAGGTGACTGACCATTAATTTTTATGTCTTAGTTATCTTTAACAGTTTATGCTGGATATGGTGGTCCATGCCTTTAATCCCAGCATTCAGGAAGCGGAGGCAGGCAGATGTCTGTAAGTTGGAGGCCAGCCGGGTCTACAAAGCGAGTTCCAGGACAGCCAGGGCTGTTACACAGAGAAACTCTGTCTCAAACAAACAAACAAACAAACAAACAACTGTTTACAATAAGTTAGTAGCTCTCATAAGTTTAGGGCTTTATAATTTTATTTTTGTTAAGATTTTGAGCCTTAAAATTACAATTTTACTATCAAAATAAACTTTAAGTCATAGATATTGTCCATAGAGAGACTGGGAACCTCATTTTTCCAATTTTTTTATAATGTACTTTTTCAATATATCACAGTTGGTTTTTTTATTCAGTTTCTCCAAATAGCTAGATCTTAACAAAGTTAGCAAAGACATAGTGTTAGATATACATCTTTAAGTCAGATTTTGTTAGCATGAATAGACCATTTTAACCATAAAAATTTATACATGGCATGCAGTAGCAAATTAAGATGACCTGTACATGCATTTTAAACTTTTAACCTCTTTTGTTGTAGGTTTTTAAGTTAACTTTTTTATTGGAATTTTAAAGCCTTTTTAAACTACCCTCATAATACTCCTATAGTTCTTGAGAGAAAGAAAGTTTACATTTTAGTAAGAGCTTCAAATATGCCCATGATCTTGAATGGGGGAACATTTTTCATAAATAAGAACCAAGAAATGTGTGAGGGAGGGAGTATTCAGGGAACTAGTCATTTTAGCCATTTTAACTTTTAGATATGAATCTCTCTTGATTAAAAAATGTAAATATCATGAGACATAACAGTAACAATAAATTTATCATTTGTTGTAAGAAATTTTTCTAAGGGGATGTGTTAGGCAATATTTGGGTCCCTTACTCAGTATATATAACAGCTTTTTCAGTGTTGCATAGATGGACCTCTTCCTTTTCAGTTTATATCCTGTACACCTAGAAAACCCTGAGCTCTCATATAATTAGGGTCTAATTGCATACAGCCAGCCGGGAGATGTGGCTGGATACTCAGGGGAAAGTCCAATGACCTTGTCTATATCCTCCTTATTTGAAGGAACATTAACATTTAACGAGTTTAGCTGTAATTATTTTAAGCAGGCACAACTGGAGTTCTGAAGATGGCAACTGCACATCTTAGAAGATACCGTATAACACCACCTTAATAAGAGAAGGTTGAATCCAAATTACACACATATAGTAACATGATGAATTAATATTACATATGTATAGTTGTTAAACCATTAGGCCTTATAAGTTTTCAGATAAGCCTTATTAAAAAAAGACAGCCTTTATAACTTATTCATCATGTAGAGTTTTTTTTAAATCAAAATTATCATTAAATTTATGTTTACATCATCTAACAGAATTTAGTTGAAGGATCCTGGTTAAAACTATGATACTGGATTTTGAAAATCTTGTTGATTCTGAAGAGCGGAGCGAGCGAGCGCGCGGCGCGAGAACCTCGGCCCGCGCGCCTTCTACTCCTCAGCCGCGGCCTCCTCGTGCGCACCCGCGGCCCCCAGCATGTCGGCGGCGGCGGCCCCCGCCGCAGAGGGAGAGGACGCCCCGGCGCAGCCCGCGTCCGAGAAGGAGCCCGAAATGCCGGGCGCCAGGGACGAGAGTGAGGAGGAGGAGGAGGAGGAAGAGGACGAGGACGAGTACGAGGAGGAAGAAAAAGAAAAGAGCCTCATTGTGGAAGGCAAGAGAGAAAAGAAGAAAGTAGAGAGATTGACAATGCAAGTGTCTTCCTTACAAAGAGAGCCATTTACAATTGAACAAGGGAAGGGTCAGAAACTATGTGATATTGAAAGGATACATTTCTTTCTGAGTAAGAAAAAAACAGATGAACTTAGAAATCTACACAAACTGCTTTACAACAGACCAGGCACAGTATCCTCATTAAAGAAGAATGTGGGTCAGTTCAGTGGCTTTCCATTTGAAAAAGGCAGTACCCAGTATAAAAAGAAGGAAGAAATGCTGAAAAAGTTTAGGAATGCGATGCTAAAGAGCATCTGTGAGGTTCTTGATTTAGAGAGATCAGGCGTGAACAGCAAACTAGTGAAGAGGATCTTGAATTTCTTAATGCATCCAAAGCCTTCTGGCAAACCATTGCCAAAACCCAAAAAATCCTCAAGCAAAGGTAGTAAAAAGGAACGGAACAGTTCTGGAACAACAAGGAAGTCAAAGCAAACCAAATGTCCTGAAATTCTGTCAGATGAATCTAGTAGTGATGAAGATGAGAAGAAAAATAAGGAAGAGTCTTCAGAAGATGAAGAGAAAGAAAGTGAAGAGGAGCAACCACCAAAAAAGACATCTAAAAAAGAAAAAGCAAGACAGAAAGCTGCTGCTAAAAGTAAGAAGTCTGTAAAAAGTGCTAATGTTAAGAAGGCAGATAGCAGCACCACCAAGAAGAATCAAAACAGTTCCAAAAAAGAGTCTGAATCTGAAGATAGTTCTGATGATGAACCATTAATTAAAAAATTGAAAAAACCACCTACAGATGAAGAGTTAAAGGAAACAGTGAAGAAATTACTGGCTGATGCTAACTTGGAGGAAGTCACAATGAAGCAGATTTGCAAAGAGGTATATGAAAATTATCCTGCTTATGATTTAACTGAGAGGAAAGATTTCATTAAAACAACTGTAAAAGAGCTAATCTCTTAAGCTAGAGGACAGATGGCTTGTTCTAAGATTTGAAGATACGATTTATACCAGCAAAGAGAATGTATTTTCTTTTTTAAGTCTATTGTTGGTAGAACTCGCTGCTGACCCTTTTGAGTGTTACATATATTTGAGCTTGCTGTTTTAAATTGCATTTCCTTGCAGTTTTCAGTTTAAAGTCTTGCATGGCAGTAAATGTTCCTTGCTTTTTATAGTTGTACGTTTTGGATTTCTTTATTGTAAGGTCATAGATTTCTGAACTGTTGTGAATTTTAGTGCACTTAATGTTAGCTTAAGACACTTTTAATTGAAGCAAAAACTATATAACTATAACCAGCATTTATACGTGCAGAGACTATTGCAGTATTTAGTATATGAGATATTTTGAATACACCTTCTGTCAGTGTGAAAACGTAGTGGCAGTTTCTTCATCATATTAGAGCACAGCTGTTCAGATGACCGAGTTGGAACTTTTCACGCATGCATATATATGTCAGGTTGTCAGCATGACAGAAGTGACAGATGTTATTTTTGTATTTTTAAAAACCAATTTGCTGTATATAATTTTTTTTTAATTTCTTTTGTGCAGATCAATTTTTAAACTCATGTAGGTAGATGTCTTGTAACTAAAGAATGTCAGTGTTCAGCCAGGCAGCATAACAGAGCAGTTAGTTCAGTGTTGCAGCACTGAAGGACTGTCCAGTTCTGCTTTGCCCTGAAAGTGTCATCAATTTTTGTGGTATGTTAAAAGTGTCATAGAAATTTTATATTGAGGATAAACCAAAATCAACACATAGAGTTTCAAAAACTGGGGAAGGGTGAGCACACTTGGCTTATATAAGTGAACTGGTAGTAACTAAACTTTGACCATATAAATCGTAGATACCTGACTTCCTTCATAATTATGATTGAAAGTATCACCAGATGTAATGCCAGAAGATAGTATAAAAGTTATCAGATGGTAATGCCGGGAATGTAGGTATCTTTGAAAGTATTTCTCAAAAAACCATACATTAAATTTCTTTGAAGTAAGTATTATGGAATCAAGGCTGTTTGATTTTAAATTTTGGTCAATCAAGATTTTTAGGTGATAAACATGGACTGTCCCTGAATTTTAATTTTGTCTTTTGACTGTCCTGAGAAATTATTTCTGAATTATAAAAATAAGCTGCTTGACAATTGATGTACCAACTGAGTATTTAATTTTCACATCGTAAATCAAATATATTAAAATAATGTTGAGCATTAACAGGTATTTTTACATATTCGACTTTAGTATGCTTAGAGTGAAATGGAGGAAGTAACTAAATGAGGACTAAAAATTGGCCTTTACTTTTAAATAATTTGTTATAAATCTTGGCAATAAAGATAAATTGATGTTTTAAAAAAAACTATGATACTGGAGTTATTATTGAGAGATTTTAGACAGAGGGTCCTTTTTATCTTTTCCATGTATGAGCATATTGTTAGCTGGCTTTATTATAGACACCTTTATACCATAAACAATAATAGCCTGTATTGGAAATAGTTTACCTTTTAGCTGTTTTCAAGCTCATATTGTCTTTTTCCTGGGTTCTGTTGTTCTCTTTCTCTCTGTCACAAAGTCAGGAGTCCAGCCTGACCCAAGATAGAAGCTCTGGAGGAAGCTGAGAGAAATATATTTTGGGCTGAAGCAAGCTGTCTCCAGAGCCAGCTTTTCAGTGAAATAAAACAGCCTGTGACAATTTTTCAATATTATGCATATCCCAAAGACATTTGAATTTCTCTAAGACTGAGCCCAGTGATCTGCTCCTCCATAACCAGTTTGTGTGTATCTGCAGATGGGGGCAGCAGCCTGAAGAGACTAACAAGTAACTGAAAATAGAAATAAAAGCAAGAGTATCTGAGCTTGGTGGGGCAGAAACAAAGGCAGACCAAAGACATAAGGCAAAGAAGTCGCCAGAACAAAAAGATCACCCTATCTCAGTTAGGGAAAGCAGGCTTGGAGATCCAGTAGAAACAGCAGGCATTAGGGCCCAGTGTAGATTTTATCTCCACTTTCCTTCCAAGCTGTATTTAGTTTAGGCTCTGGGTGTGGTTGTAGGTGTGAGCTAAGTGGTAGGAATGAGAAGGCTGGGGAGAAGGTCACATGGGGGAGAGGCCTCAGACCCTTTGCCATGTAGTTTGAGACGGTTGTCTAGATATGTCAGAATGTCAAAATTGAAAGTTTTGAATTGGGACCAGAAATGGCCATCATTGAAAGAGTACTGTGGCCAGATTTGAGTAGATAACTAAGTGAGTTTGGTGGTCTGGAACTCGCTAAGCTGGAGCTTTTAGAGCCCATTTAAAAAATTTGGTTTGAATTTTAAATGACAGGCAGAACTGGCAGAAAGTCTTATCCTACTGCCTAAGGCATCCCCAGGCTTAAGGGAAAGATGAAAATTAAAACTGAGAGTTGGGGTGGGGGTCACCACACTCAAAAGGCTACAGGAGTTCTCAAAGTTAGTTAACTGTGAGAGGTTCCTGGAATCTCTTGTGATCCGAGAAGGAATGGGAAGTTCTCAGAGCTTCTGGTGTCTGGTTGACACATCTTTGAGTCAGATCCAGATGGATGGTTACCTTGTCCTGTAGAATTTGTGTGTGTGGATAGCAGTGACCAAATGGTGAAAGACCTCTTAGCCTGAAGTTCAGAGAATGTTGGAGGAAGAGGTCAAAGGAAGGGTCGGGGGAAGATGAATGGGGAGGATTCAGAGAAGAGAAGAGAAGAGGATTGGTGTCAGTCTGGATTTACACAGAGCACCGACAAAGTCATAAGAATTGAAATTCCATCCATAGAACTTGCACTATTCATGAAGGCAGAATTAGGACTGGTGGCTGTTTAGCCTATATATTGAATGTCTTGGGTCAGTGTTCTATTGCTGTGAAGAGATAACATGACTAAGGCAACTCTTATAAAAGAAAGCATTTAATTGAGGGCCTGCTTACAGTTTCAGATGATTAGTCCAATATCATCATGGTGGGAAACATGGTAGCATACAGGCAGAAATGGTGCTGAAGAAGTAGCTGAGAGATACACCCAGATCCACTGGCCAGGAGAGAGATTCTGGGCTTGGAATGGGCTTTTGAAACCTCAAAGCACACCTCTGGTGACATACTTTCTCCAACAAGGCCATACTTCCTAATCCTCCTAATCCACTAATTCAAATAGTGCAACTCCCTAGTGATCAAGCATTCAACTCTATTAGTCTCTGGTGACATACTTTCTCCTATGGGGCCATTCTTCAAACCATCACAGTGAGATTATAGGGTGTCTGTGCTCCTGAAGGAATTACCTGTAGGAAGGAGGAAGGAGGGATTTCTGCCCAGCGGACCTGAAAAGGATCCTGGGTTTTGGCACCAGATGTAAGAAAAATGAGGCAAAGAAGCAGACAGATTGATCTCAACATGCTCAAACTGCTTTATTGGAACAGAAAGAGGTCCTAAGCTTTCTGTGGGATTAAGGTTGAGCACATTTAGAGGGCCTGAGGGACATCTATCTATCTATCTATCTATCTATCTATCTATCTAGCAGGAAGTTACATCTATTCTTTTGTGGTTTGGTTAGAAGTAGGGTACCTTGTTTTTAATAGCCATATTGTTTCTACAGGTTGATCAGAACAGTCAGACTGGGGCCAAGCAATTCTTTATGGCTAGAGGACATTGCCCAGTACAGCCTGACTCAGTTCCTCATGACCTGAGGCTATTACCCAACACAGTAAAGTCAAAATATTCCTAAAATATGAAGAAATAAAACAGAAGAAAAGAAAATATTGTTCCCCCACCATAGAAAAAGTTCATATTCTAGTTTCATTCTGTTGCTGTGATGAAACACTCTGACCAAAAGCAACTTAAAGATGGGAAGGCTTTATTTCAGCTTACAATTTCAAGTCACAATCCATCATTAAGGGAAGTCAGGGCAGGAAATGAAGCAGAAACTAAGGAGTAACATTGCTTATTGACTTGTTTTCTCACTTGCTCAGCTAGCTTTCTACTATGCCCCAGGCCCACCTGCCTAGAGATGGTGCCACCCACAATGGGCTGGGCCCTCCCACATCAATCATCAACCAAGACTGTTTCTTGCTGATGTGGCCACAGGCCAATCTAATCTTGGCAATTCCTCAATCAAAATTGAAGCTAGCTAGGATATTGCATAAGCAAAAGAAAAAGGCACACACATTATGTGAAGGGAAATAAATGAAAACATGAAAAACATAAAAATGCAGTAAAGAGGCTCACTAAGCATCTAAGGAGAAAAGGGGAAGGAATCATAAGGGAACAAAAAGAAAAGATGAGATGTTGGAGAAGCTTCTTACTGTATCTTCGAATATTGGATACTGCCAGTTATCATGGGGGTTGGGGATGGTCAGTTAAACCTGTGTGCTCTTGTCTTTCCTGTGGCTTATGGTGTTGTGGAGTGAGCATTGCATGAGTGTTTGATATCCATCATCTTCCTCTTTGGTTGTTTCTCTCCCTTACATAGTAGGATGAGCTGATCTGTTAACCACATTTAGCTTTTCATTCTGCAGACTGGGAAGATCCTCTCAGCCCCGTGACTCCCCAGACAATACTCCCTGGAGTGGCTAGTGTTTTAGCTGGAGGATGTCTCCCAAGTGCATTTGGAGTGTGGGAAGCAAACAAAGCACTGAGACAGGCTCAGGCAGAGGATCTGTCCTTATACTTCCCAGATCTCTTGAGCATTAAATCACTCTGCTGATATGAGGAATGCAGCTTTGGGTATCATGTACATCCCTTGAACTTCAGAGATTTCTGGCCCAACAGCAATGAAGGGCAGATGGGTGGCTCCAGATTTTGACCCACTCTGTGGCCTCAGGCTCAGAGCTTTCAAACTCCAGAACTGTTTGCAGTTGATGAGATCTGCTCCCCAGCCACCAAGGGTAGGACTGTCTCTTCTCATGCTCTTCCCAGCTTAAGCCTGCTACTTGCACCCTTTAAAGGGTTTGTGAGTGTTCAGCCTTCCTGCTCTTCACAACTGCCTCTCTGAGATTTACCTCACTCAGGGTCTGTGCCAGGCCAACTTGAGGCTTCCCCACTTTTGGATGTTCCCTCATCTCAGAACCCACTCCCACATGGAGGTAGCTCAGTTTTGAACAATAGGTTCTCCATCAAGATGGCTCCTGGCCACTGCCATCCAGGTCATATAGAATGACAAAATGGGATTTCTTTCCACCACTCATCTATCTGCTACATGACCTACTCTTAACAAAAACTGTTAGTATACGCGAGGCTTGTGAGGATTGTAGGCTTGTCCTGAGGGTAGGACTGCCTAGATTCTGTCTTTTGAAAGTGGCTGCTGTTTCCCCTCTCTCTACCAGCTTATTACCCTGGGTCATACCATATTTTTTTTTTCTCTTCTCTGGTTTCCCTTTCCTTCCTTTCTGGATTTCCAAAGTTCCTCCTCTATTTCTCTCTGATAAAAAGTATATTCGTAGAGAACATATGGGTCATCCTTCCTTGTTTTCTGTAATAAAGAGGCAGGTATTTGAATATACTATTAGATAATCCATAACACTCATGTACCTTGCTAACTCCATCAGGAATTCAAAATGAACTCTTACAGAATTCTATGTAAAAAATACGTTTGAAACACTCATAGGAAAAGATGATTTTGCTTTCTGATTTTGTGGAGGTTCTATTTTGGAGATGATAGATGTATTTACAAAAACCTGTTCAATTACATGTAACACCTGCTATGGTAGAAGCATGGGCTGTGGGAGTTTGGGATGACGAGACAGGAGAAAATGATTTCTAAACTCAGTGGTTAAGGATAAGAAAGAGTTGGTGATGGAAATGGGAATAAACAGGTATGTAAATGATATGGGGAAGAAGTGCTATATAAAATCTCTAACTGTACCTTCATGAGGAATGAATAATATTTAATTTTCTATAGGCCCTTGTTGGAATGAGTATTTAAGTTTATTGCATAGGTATAATTTTAGAGGATATTAAATAAAGCTATATAAACCTCAAAAAGGTGTATTTATTCTTATTCTAGTTCTCTCCTTTACCAGCTCACATAGAGGCAGTCTCCAGTCTGCTATCTTATCTCGAATTTTCTCTATTTGTCATTGACCATAGTATTTCCCTACAATGCTCTGGCAAAGGCCATCCATGAATTCCATGATGACATAGGTGCAGTAAGGTCTCCTGTGAGGGCTTCATTCTTGTCTGAAACTCTCTGACTACATCCTAAGCAGATGTTTGGGTAGTCCCTAGCATGAAACCCACACAGAAGACCTGTGGCCTGTAATAATATATCTGAGTGGTTGGAATTTTCAGTTGCAATAAGAGTTCAACAGATAGAGCTGAGGCTGGGTCTCAGTGGTAAAGCTTATGGAAGGCCTTGGAATTAGTGCCTACCATCATTTTTTAAAATTATATACACAATCAAAACTCTCGACAGGCAATGCCTAACAAGATATAGCAGAACACATTGTAAACCCAGTTATTTGGAAATACAGAGATGACCATTCAGAAGAGAAAATCTGGGGTATGTGTGAAACAAAGGATATCAGAATTTTATTTTTCATCATAAAATTCCTAGTACTATTTGGCATTCTATCAAAGCACATGAGTTAGTTTGGCAACATATTGTTATAGGGTCAAAATACAACTCAACACACATATTAAATATGCCTGCCAGCTGAATCCTACACAGCAACAGATACAAATCTGAGCCCTCTTCAGTTCTCAAGAAAAAATTACTGCTCTAGGTCTTATGAAGGTATCTTCTCACTGTTTTACTAACTTTGAAAACAAAGTATAAGAAGGAGTTGTACCAAGAAATACAAAGCCATATGGTTTATTCACAAATGTAGGATTTTAACATCAAAATTGTGATTTCAGCAATGTAGAGAATAGCAAGGACAGTGTAGTTTTTAAAACATACACTTACTTCAAGATATTTTCCTTCTTTCTTTTCCTAAGAAGTCTGCCCAGCATAGCAGTGAATGAACGAAACCTTTCCTTTTTAAAGAAGGGTTTCACATGTCTGATTTGTGTTTTCTGCCTATAAACACAGATCCATTTCTACAGCTGCAGTCTAGGCTTTCCTAAGTGGAATGTGAAATAACATTCATGCTGTGGCCCTATTCCAGACTGACCAAATCAGGATCTCTATGGAGAGAGTTCCTAAAACTGGTTTATGGTACAGAACTGAGGTTATGTACATCTGAGGTTAAGAAACACAAGCATACACTCCATTTTATCTGTCTTGTCTTCAAATGCAATCTTGGGCTTTGTATTAGTTTTCTGTGCTATATTTCTTTGATCAGTTTGTATCTGTTGATGAAATAGAATACTCTGACTAGAAGCATCTTGGGAGGAAGCGGTTTATTTGGTATACACATCTGTCTTAGGGTTTTATTGCTGTGAAGAGACACTATGACCACAGCAACTCTTATAAAGGAAACATTTAATTGGGGCTGGCTTACAGTTTCAGAGGTTTAGTTCATTATCATCATGGCAGAACATGGCAGCATGCAGGCAGACATGGTGCTGGAGAAGGAGCTGGGAGTTCTATATCTAGATCTGCAGGTAGCAGTAAAAGAAGTGAGCCACACTAGGCCTGGCTTGAGCATTTGAGATCTCAAAGCCTGCCCCCAATGACACACTTCCTCCAATAAAGCCATGACTACATCAACAAGGACACACCTTCTAATAGTGCCACTTCCTATGGCACTATTCAAACACATGAGTCTATGGGGGTCATTCCTATTCAAACCATCACAATATTTCAATCACAGTCCGTCATTGAGGGATAACAAGACAGGAACTCAAGCAAGGAAGGAGCCTGGAGGCAGGAACTGAAGCAAAGACCATGGAGGAATGCTACTTATTGCCTTGCTCCTTGTGGCTTTTAAGGTTACTTTCTTTTTTCACCCAGGACCACCTGCTCACAGGTGGCACCACCCACAGTGGGCTGGGTCCTCCCACATCAATCATAATCAAGAAAATGCCTCACAGACAGGTCCATAGACAGTGATTCTCAACATGTGGGTCACAACCCCTTTGGAGTCAAATGACCCTTTCATGGGGGTTGCATATCAGATATCTTGCATGTCAGATAGTTACATTATGATTCATAGCAGTAGCAAAATTACCGTTTTGAAATAGCAACAAAAGTAATTTTATGGTTGGGGGTCACCACAACATGAGGAACTGTATTAAAGGGTTACAGTATTAGGAAGGTTGAGAACCACTGCCATAGGACAATATGATAGAAGCAATTCCTCAACTGACATTCCTTCTTCCCAGATAAATCTACATTTGTGTCAAGCTGACAAAAACTAATCAACACAGCTTCCAAAGCCTTATTTTTTGTTGTCAGTTTTTTTCTTTTTAATGATGATGTGCTTTCTCTTTAGAGAGCTATGTTTGAGATATTTATTTTACAGCCACATTTAAAGCAATCTCCAGGATTCAGTGTGTTCATTCTCCATTGTCCCTTTTCCCACTTTCTAACCCAGCAGGCAGAAAGGACTTTACAGGTGGGAAGGCATCTGAATACTGTTGTCATGGAAACCACTCTGATTCTCAACCCCAGCGGGTCACTAGCTCAGTTAGAAGGCTGTAGAGTGAGACAATAGCCCTCCCCACTCTGATTTCTTCCTGGGAAAAGAGGTTGAAGTTGAGAGCTGAGGTTGGTTTCCAGGGAGATCAAAGCCAGGTATTTGAGATTCATGAACAGAAAATTACATACATAAAAATTGGTGCACAGGATTGATAATAGGAACCTACCTATAGATATTGGAATTGCAAGCTGATAGTTCTATTCACATAGAATATCTGTTCTTGATGCTTGTGCATATGCAAACAAGTGTACACACACACACACACACACACACACACACACACACACACACACACACTGTGGAAACTCACCAGCATGCTTTCTACTCATGTGTGCACAGTGACTCTGTCTGACTAGAGCATGACATGTGAATAGAGGAGGCAATGAAGCAGAATAAGTAGGCAGGACTCATAACAAGGAAGAGAGAGTGGGACATTCCTTACTATTGGGGGATGGTGGCAAAAAATAATTGTATACCCTTTCCTCCATGACTTTCACATGTGCATTACATTTTAAGACAACTTTAGTGAGGCATAATTGACACACTATGCAACTATGTGTACAGTACTTGTAGTAAATTTACACAGTTGTGTAACTATCACCGCAATCCCGTTTTATCACACTTCTACCACTCAAAAATAATATGGCAAACAATCTCTATGCTTACCTCCAAGTTCAGGCAATCCATAATCTATGTCCTGTCTTTGTATAATGCCCTTTGTGAGCATTTTCTTTGAAGTGACTCACATAGTAAGTGGTCTTTTGACACTTAGCAAGAAGGCTCTGGGCCAGTGAAATGGCTCAGTAGCTAAGGTCCTTGCTGTTAAGCCTGATGACCTGAATTTGGTCCCCAAGATCCATAGAGTGGAAAGAGAGAATCAACTCTTGCAAATTATCCTCTAATATCAACACATATGCTTTGGAATATACAATATCCCCAACACAAAAATGAATAAACAATTGCAAACTTAAGTTTATGAGGTTCATACATGTTATAGTATCAGCATCAACAGTTTCTACGTCCTTCATTCAATAATATTCTTCTTCACTGATATGCCACCTTTCCTTTATTCCTTCACCAATTTGTATATATTTCTACTTTGGGCCCATCATGAATAATGCTTCTATGACCATCAGAATACATGTTGTCTTTGTCTGTTCATTGTTTCTAATAACATGGAACCACAAACACAAACTTGATAAGATATAAAGATTTATTTTGGTTTATGATCCTCATCTAAGATGAAGGGGCTTCTTGCTAGCAGTGTTCTCAAATGGACCAGGAGGAAGCCATCACATGGCAAGGAGACATGGAGCATGGGAGTGTCCTTGCTTAACTGACTTTCATAAAACATTGGTGTGAAACTACATCCTACAGGAATTATAATACAGCCACTGCTGTCTTGAAGTTAGAAGAGCTATGATTACCAGCAGAAGATTCTCACAAGATTAAACCTATAAAAATTCGCTTGTGGAAGTGGGGGAAGACCAACTGGGTCATGAGTCCTCTCTCCAAGAATATATAAGAGGGTTAACTTGATGGTAGTAGGTGGGGAGAATTCCTCAGAGTATGGCATAGCTGCCTGAAAGTTGCCCATGTTCTAGTGAGTAACAACCCAATTAAAGCCATTAGTTCATCAAGCTGCATGTGGCTGAAGTCATTCCATTGGACTGCCATTGGTACCCTATACACAGTGAATAGAGATGCTTGCTCATGCCACCCCAGAAAAAAAAACATACAACATAGACCTACACCCAGATAACACTTTAGCCCACTTATCCATCCATCTGTATTTCTTTTCATCCCATATTTCCTTCCTCTCTCTTTCTCTTTCTCTTTCTCTTTCTCTTTCTCTTTCTCTTTCTCTTTCTCTCTCTCTCCCTCCCTCCCTCCCTCCCTCCCTCCCTCCCTCCCTCCCTCTCTCTCTCTCATTCCTCCTTCCTTTTCAGTATTGGGAATTGAACCCAAGGCCTTGCACATGCTAAACAACTTATTATTCACTGAATTATATCCCCAGCTCCCATTCCTTCAATTATTGCATGAAATCCTAACTCGATCATGAGGGAAGAATGCAATCAATTCTTAAGTACCACTCCTAGCCCCATTTCTTAATCTCTCATATGCAGATTAAAATTCAACATGCATTTTGGAGGAGATGATCCATAACACATCTAAGTGTAAAGATATCTGTCTTGGCCTCAGTCTTATGCAAAAAGCACCTCTTCCTTCACCACAATGCACACTATGTGCTTTACAAGTTAGAGGCCTTCTCTGCTACTCTGAAGTTGTTGACTATATTTCATTTTGTCTTTTGACACACAGCCTTGTTATGCAGATCAGCCTGGCCTGGAACTCAGAGATCCACCCATCTCTGCTTGCCAAGTGCTTGGATTAGAGGCATGTGCCACTAATCTTGGTCTCTTGACCATGTTTTGGGTTTTGAGAATTTCATACTCAAGTATTGTATTTAATCCTCCCTCCCCCAATTCCAGAGGGAAAATCATTTTTATTCATGGACAAGCCTCCTGTTGACTGTCTTTTAATCACAATTGTGTTTTGGATATTGTGAAATGCCAAAATGATCAAACAATCTTTGTTCTTGATTACACTAACATGCTACATTACGTTAACTGAAATTTGAATGTTGTACATATCTGGGAGGAATCTTACTTGGAAGTGTTGCCTAATCTGCCAGGCATGCTAGTATGCAAGTGAAATCCCAGCCCTTGGAGGCAGGAGGACTGTGAGTTTGAGCCAGGACAAGGCTACACAGTGATTTCCAGACCAGACTTACATAGTGAAAACATGCTTCAAAACAAACATGTACACACAAAAAATAATGTCACATGTTTTGCATGTTTTTGCTGGATTTGAATTCTTAATATTTTCTTGAGGAATTTTTCATATGTTGAACTGTGGGGGTCCTTGTGATGGCTCAGCCTGGCTTTAGAGGTAGAATATTATTCTCATAGAGAATGTGCTGGAAAATATTCCCCCATCTTGAACATTCTGCAATGCTATGGGATGGTCTGTATGTCAAATGTGTTGCTGATTGGTCAATAAATAAATCACTGATTGGCCCGTGGCCAGGCAGGAAGTATAGGCGGGACAAGGAGGAGAATAGAGCTGGGAAGTGGAAGGCTGAGTGAGAGAGACACTGCCAGCCGCCATCAGGACAAGGAAGATGTAAAGTACCGGTAAGCCACAAGCCACGTGGCAAGGTATAGATTAATAGAAATGGATTAATTTAAGCTGTAAGAACAGTTAGCAAGAAGCCTGCCACGGCCATACAGTTTGTAACCAATATAAGTCTCTGTGTTTACTTGATCGGGTTTGAGCGGCTTGGGACTGGCAGGTGAGAGAGATTTGCCCTGACTGTGGGCCAGGCAGGAAAACTTTAGCAACAAATGGCGCCCAACGTGGTGGCAAGAGTTTCCACCTAAAACCTGAGAAAAAAGATTCTAAAACGGAGCTAAAAACAGCTTCCTAATTGTCTCTCTCAAATGAGCAGCAGCTGCCGGTTTGAGCTACTGGCGGGTTGCTGGCGTGCGCGCTCGACCTGCAGTATGGCTGGAATGAGGCCTCTGCAAGTGGCACATTAAGCTGCTTGATGAATTTAGCCTTTGCTAGTACAAAACAAAAAAAGAGGTTTCTGGACTACACGCTGCTTGGATAAAAGCATAGACCCACGATAGCTCCCAAAGCTGGCGGAAAACTACAGTACCGCCGCCATGTTGGGAAGCTGAGGTGGGCGGAGCCAGCAGCCACAGCTGCTGCAGCTTAAAGCAATAGATTCACAATAAGACAGATTCAGATGTAATAGTTTAAAATGTGTGTAAAATATACGTAGGCTTGAAAGAGACAAAAAAGGTGATATATACAGTATAGAAACAAATACATAGTTTTAAAAAATAAAGTCTTTTAAGAGACAGTAAAATTAGTATAAAAAATAAGCCACGTGAAGATGACTATTACACAGAGAATCTGGATTGTGTTGTCTTTGGGATTTTTAACTGCAGAAAAACATTTGATTGTAAAAGCTGTTGAGTTAAACCAATATATATATTTTAAAGATACCTTGACTTCAAAATTTGGATATAAGGATATGTTGCTTTGGAAAAGAGTCTCTTTTGTTCCCACAGAAAGCCAGAGGCTATGGATTTGTTCCAGATTAAGATACATCAGGTTTGACCAGCCAAGACCACCTGAAAGGTCTCCGATGACACCATGGCCCAGATGATCCAACATCCAGAATGGTTTGAAGGCAACTGGCTCAGACGATACACCCTCATGGACTACTCCATAATCCTAAAATGTTCTTTGTGTCCCCATAAGATACAGCGCCCCCCTCCAGCAGGAAGTAGTAAGAGAAGCTACGCCCAAATTCCCAAATATACCAAGCTGACTTTGGAGATGTGTAAAGGTTAAAACCTTCCTTTTTAAGAAAAGAAAAGGGGAAGTGCTATGGGATGGTCTGTATGTCAAATGTGTTGCTGATTGGTCAATAAATAAATCACTGATTGGCCCGTGGCCAGGCAGGAAGTATAGGCGGGACAAGGAGGAGAATAGAGCTGGGAAGTGGAAGGCTGAGTGAGAGAGACACTGCCAGCTGCCATCAGGACAAGGAAGATGTAAAGTACCGGTAAGCCACAAGCCACGTGGCAAGGTATAGATTAATAGAAATGGATTAATTTAAGCTGTAAGAACAGTTAGCAAGAAGCCTGCCACGGCCATACAGTTTGTAACCAATATAAGTCTCTGTGTTTACTTGATCGGGTTTGAGCGGCTTGGGACTGGCGGGTGAGAGAGATTTGCCCTGACTGTGGGCCAGGCAGGAAAACTTTAGCAACACTGCAAGGTCTATGAAGGATCAGTGTTATTTCTTCTTTCTCTACTGTCATTTCCACCTTTTTTATTATTAACATAATTTTTATTGATTGTTTGGGAATTACACATCATGTACACCAATTCCACTCATCTTCAAGTCCCTCCATATCTGCCCCTCATCCTTGTAGAGGCTCTCTCCCAAAGGAAAACTAAAAAAGAAATAAGAAAAATTAAAAAATAAATAAAATGATAAAAGATACAAATAAGAGTAACAGTATCAATTTTAAAAACTAACAAGCAAACAAAAACAAAACATTACTTACTCTTCTATCTTTCCCACCTCTCCATTGCCCCTTCATTCATCTTAGTGGCACTGGAGCTGCTGTGTATCATGCAGTACACCCTTTTGTCCAAATAGCTTTACTTGCAAATGTTCATTGTGTAATG